TATATATATACACACACACACATTATACTTTTGTGGTAAAGATCAGTACCACAATAGTAATATTTAGAAATATTTTTATAATATGAATAACAGTATGTGGAATCATGGAATTATGGAGTCATTCATTTAGACAACAACCTTATAATCTAAATATGACCATAATCATTATGATGGGGGGGCAAGTAATGAACTGAACTGATCACTTGCCATACCATAGTTGATGCCGCAGATGGCTGCCTCGGTTCTGTACTGGAAACAAATTCCTTGTGTGTGTAACATACTTGGCCAAACAAAGGTGATTATCCTTTTCCTTATCCATAAGGTATTTTACTGCATACTGTATAATACTTATTTGCATACATACTGTAGGCTGTTTACAAGTAGACTCAAGAGTAAGATGCTAGGTCCTTAGCTTTCAGTTCAACAAATCTTTATTTTTTGTTTGCTTTAATGCAAAAAGTGATGCTTACTATGTCAGCTACAGTACCAAGAATATACGGAAACCAGGAAACATTCATCTATTTCTGTTCATTAGGCCTATAAGTAAATAATTTGTCATGTATATTTATTTGCTCTAATGTTACCTGTAAACATTAGCATGTCTGACTAATCTGCCTAGCTTTGTCAGTGATTATTTGTTATCTTCAAATGCTTTTCTCTTGTAAAGGCAAAGTGTTTTGAAAATGCATACATTAAATCATAAATTAAAGCATCATGTTAAATCATGAGTTATGTTAGAAGAAATAACAATTTTATTAAATTTTATATTGCACTATAAAACTGAGGGTCCACCCTGCAATAAGCCAACTACCGTCCCCCCCCCCCCCCCCCCCAGTGTCTTCTACATTGACTATAAGCTGCTCACATTTTGCCTGTGACATACTTTACAGTTTCAATGTTCGTGTTTTATTTTATATCATGTATCCAATATAAGAATATTTTAGTGGGTTCTTATTTTAAAACAAAATAGATGTAACCATTAAAAAGTCAGTTACAGAGATGTTTAACTTGCAGAGTTTGAGCATTACCTCTGGCTTACACTAACTAGGTAGAGATGATAAAATCTACTAGCATCAGGCATAATTTCAGCTGACAAAATTGAAAAAATAAAGATATTAAAGAGTATTGTTTTTCAAGGGGTGATTCTTACAAATTTTAAAGCCGGATTTGGATACAAAAAGATTTCCCAAGCTTTAAACATCCCAAGGAGCACTGTGCAAGTGATAATATTGAAATGGAAGGAGTATCAGACCACTGCAAATCTACCAAGACCTGGCCGTCCCTCTAAACTTTCAGCTCATACAAGGAGAAGACTGATCAGAGATGCAGCCAAGAGGCCCATGATCACTCTGGATGAACTGCAGAGATCTACAGCTGAGGTGGGAGACTCTGTCCATAGGACAACAATCAGTCGTATACTGCACAAATCTGGCCTTTATGGAAGAGTGGCAAGAAGAAAGCCATTTCTTAAAGATATCCATAAAAAGTGTCGTTTAAAGTTTGCCACAAGCCACCTGGGAGACGCACCAAACATGTGGAAGAAGGTGCTCTGGTCAGATGAAACCAAAATCGAACTTTTTGGCAACAATGCAAAACGTTATGTTTGGCGTAAAAGCAACACAGCTCATCACCCTGAACACACCATCCCCACTGTCAAACATGGTGGTGGCAGCATCATGGTTTGGGCCTGCTTTTCTTCAGCAGGGACAGGGAAGATGGTTAAAATTGATGGGAAGATGGATGGAGCCAAATACAGGACCATTTTGGAAGGAAACCTGATGGAGTCTGCAAAAGACCTGAGACTGGGACGGAGATTTGTCTTCCAACAAGACAATGATCCAAAACATAAAGCAAAATCTACATTGGAATGGTTCACAAATAAACATATCCAGGTGTTAGAATGGCCAAGTCAAAGTCCAGACCTGAATCCAATCGAGAATCTGTGGGAAGAACTGAAAACTGCTGTTCACAAACGCTCTCTATCCAACCTCACTGAGCTCGAGCTGTTTTGCAAGGCGGAATGGGCAAAAATTTCAGTCTCTTGATGTGCAAAACTGATAGAGACATACCCCAAGCGACTTACAGCTGTAATCGCAGCAAAAGGTGGCGCTACAAAGTATTAACTTAAGGGGGCTGAATAAATTTGCATGCCCGATTTTTCAGTTTTTTATTTGTTAAAAACGTTTGAAATATCCAATAAATTTCGTTCCACTTCATGATTGTGTCCCACTTGTTGTTGATTCTTCACAAAAAATTACAGTTTTATATCTTTATGTTTGAAGCCTGAAATGTGGCAAAAGGTCGCAAAGTTCAAGGGGGCCGAATACTTTCGCAAGGCACTGTAAAGTGCTATAAAGTGTCATGCTAGAATGGGAACACTGTCTCTCATGCTCTCACTAAAGACTCTGATAGAAGGTTGAGTAAAATTGTGGTTTGGACACTGCTATGCCTCAAAGGCTTGTCAAACTTTAAAAACCTCAACTGGTGAAAACAGAGAAAGAAAATGTCACACAGTTTAGCTACAAACCGTCTTCTGCCCTGAAGCTTGTGTTGTGTTTTTCATCTGTGAATAAACAGCACAACAGGATGAAGTCTAGCATCTCCACAAATGTTAAACTGAAGGTCAAAAAATGGAATGACGGTCAAAGAATGGAAGACAAAGAGAGTAGCAAAAAAACTGAAAAGAAGACAATTGGGAGTTAGCAATAAATAGACAACAAACGAGTGTGTATGTGTGTGTGGGAGAGAAATCATTTAGATGAGGATGTTATGCAATTGTTTCATAACACATTCAATGATGTTCTTGACCAGGCTAATTGCTACATTAAATCAGATGAGAAATGTGAAACCTGAGCTCTTATTAGTTCAGGGCTATCCCACCCAGATAACCTCACATATTACTGGGCTAATGAGCTTTTGTGTCATTAATCATTAACTCCAAACAAAGGCTTAGGATGCTGGGTTGAAAACAAAGCAGACTTGTGAATTATAGGCCACATTTTTGTCTTTATAAAGAAACAGCAACACTTAAAGCAGTAAAAAGGCTCTCTCTAATTCTTTTGTTGTTTGTTTTTCTTGTTTCTTTTTTATAACATCTTCATAAAAAGCAAATTACAATGAAGATTAAAGACTGAAGAAATATGTACTGTACATAAATTAAAATGTGTATTGTAATGAAGTAATATTCAGTATTCTTATGTTGTATACCCTGCCTAACTCTAACAGCACAAGAAACATTATATTCTGGACAAATCATTGTCCAGTCTTATCTGGCCAGTGTGGCGAGATACTTCGTCAACTTTTTGAAGAATTTACTTAAATCAAACACCATTTTTTTAAATGTTTTTTCTTCTAGGAAATAATTTGTGCAATGCACAGTTCAGTCACAGCTCATTATTGGTCTTGTCTACATCTTTCAACAAAAATTTAAGATGGCTTAAAAAGTGAAATTTAACATTTGGATGCCACCAGCCAAACTGCTTATTGATTTTGATTTCAAACAAAGAATTTTGCACAAACATGTGATTAAACTTCAGGGGTATGTTTGACTCCGTTTGGTTCATGGTGTCAGTCCATTCAGAAAGCTATTCCAGTTGATTTAAACTTTTAGTAGACCATAACAAATCTTGACAAGATGTTAGGCCAATTTTCAAGAGTTTTGTATAGAGGCCTTGTTAAAATACAGGGATAACAACAAGGGATATTTGTGACCTGCTTATGTTTATGGGAACTAGCAGGCTTGGTACTGCCTTGCTTTGGATGTTATCTCACCATTTGATGACTTGTTATCACTTCACATTAGACCAGTTATTTGATCAGAAGGTCCTTAGTCCATCTACTAGGCGGTTTAGTAGGATATTATCATTTCATAAACTTTCATTATTATGGTTACAATAAAAACATGGAACATATCTGGTTTATGAAGGAAGAGGTGCCTCCTCAACCTTATTTATGTGTGTGATAATAACAACACTCAGGTCAACTTCACAGACAGGGTAGCAAAGTTATAAAGCACTGAGACACTGATTAATCCTTTGATAGTTTTTTTTTCATTTTCTTCCAGTGTGTTGATAATAAGACAAATATAGAAATGTATAATTTAAATTTACACAGCAGAAATGTTTCTGTTGTAATAAAAAGTTTTATTCAGCACATCAGAAGACAATTCATTAATACAAGTGCACAGATGTGAGCCTGTAAGGGTACCAAGAAAACAAGTGTGATTTTGTGAATCATTGCCCCCACCCCACATCAGGACCAGCTGCTGGCTGAGTTGCTATGGACTGGCTGGCTGCCGCTGTGTGAAGCGGTTACTCACTAAGGATGACTAACAGGGGTGGCAGCATGGTCATGGCTCTGGGGACGCACAGTCAGAATGTAGCCCCAGTAAAGCATCTGCATATCAGTCACATCACGGAGTTCATCAGCAAGTTGGTGAGCCAAAATGAGATTTTGAGTTTGTGCTTCAGTATCACATACATTTGACATGAACAGATATCCAACACTGTCTTAGACAGAACTCTAATGATGAAATACTATACCATCATAACAAGCCATACTATCCTACTCCACTTCTTCAAACCATTTTTAGTTCCACCTCCGCATGCAAGTAAAAAACACATCCCACCTCCACTAGTAAGGCCAGCGTTTCCCTGCTCCTCATCTGACGTGAGGCAATTGCAGCTGTCTGATAGCAGGACGGTTGTCTAATATGCCTGGCTCTTGTTTTTATTTTTCAAAGCTCATTTGATGAAATATTGACATACTCTTTTGAAAGTGTTATATTGCTCCATTTATCTGCATCAAAACATGTTTATAAATTGCTGAATCATACAGTAACAGCTGTTTGGTATCCACATTTCTCAATAATATATTTTCCCAGATAAATCATCTGAGAAGAAACCAACAATATAGGCTGGTTAAAACAAGGCATAAATGCTGCGAAGGGAAAAATTAAATCTTTGTAATTGAACACCCCGTGCAGACTGACATCTGTGTACCGCGATCAACTGTGACCATGCCCATGACTTGGGGCTGTGTCTGCTGTGACATTCTAGATAATAGGGCCTTGTGGATGTAGATTCTTCTGTTTTCAAATGGTTCACTGAAATCTAACCTCCTTTCAGTTCACACATCTCTGCTGGGCACGTTTTTGTTTAGCTTCACATTATGCGTCAACGTCTCCAGCATTCATTGCTCCCTGTGTCTGGTGGATGTTGGAGTGCTGTTTGGGGGTGAACATCATTAGTTCTATTAAATTTGTGGTGAAGTTTGAGAAAAAGAGAATCGGTGTAGTTAGTGAACAAAAAAGATGAAAAGACATCATTTATTTAATCTTTTTTTACTTGTGCTGCCGCATTGCATGACGCTGCTAACAAAAGATCCCATAACAGAAGGTACTGAACTGAAAGAACTAAAAAGAAATAATCCTCATCATATTTTCACCATAGCAGCTATGGGCAGTAATGCTGATGGCAAATGACTTAAAATGTTTATATTTTATTGCAGTAGTAACAGCTTTTAAATAAACCCAATCAACTGTAAAATGACTACAACTACAATGGCTACATTCCAGCGTCCATATATTATACATTCTGGTTCACCTAAATTGGATCAGAGTCATTGTTAAAGTTATTATTTGCACCTGTGATTTTCCTACTATGGCAAGTCACAATATCTTCACCTAATGATGGTAACCCTGGCACAGCACTGCTCAGGAAAATTGTGTCCACCACAGCTGCATGAGGTTTGGCATGCTCTTAAGATCAGGTTGTGCTACCTGACATAGGGATCAGTGATTTGCTGCATGATCCCATCGCTATAAAGTGTGACATTTGAAGCTTTACAGAGCTCACAGAAAAGAAATTGTGGGCTTATTTTTGAAGGTGACCTTATGAGGCATTGTTACACCTGGATGCATAGTTCAAAGGCCACCTGAAGACCTTTTGTATGAAAGGGAAGTAGCAGTCACTCACTGTGCATGATGTATATTGATGATAAAACTCATGGCAAATGTCACTGTAGCTCCAAACACACAGCAATACATGATGCACTATACAAACCTATTCTGTCAATATTTTTAATGCCAGTATAACAGTAATGTTGACAAATTTCCTGACTAAAATGTATTGTTTGTATGTCAAATTTGTGAAACAGGTTTGCACAGGTAACCTGGACAGTGTTTGTAACCGATTCATTATTATAATAATTATGACTATAATACATATAACAGTATCACAATTACAGCAACATACAATTTGTGTACATTAGTAATGAAGCCATTTATAGGCTCACTATACAAAAAGAGCTGTTTTTCCTTACTGTCCATTGTCACTGAGGCCTACTAAACTTCCATCTAGTGTCCAGTACATAAAATTACACCTGCCACTAGACAGAAATATAGATGTGAAAATATCTTGATCATGAAATACTGAAAAATTGATGATAATATTATAAATTGTTTATGTGATAAGGTACTATAAGAAGAAAATATTGAGCATTGTTCAGTAATCTTTACTGAAGCAAAGGCAAAGGTGTTTGATTCAGTTTGACCTAATGCGCATGCGCACTCCAAAAAAAGCTCGGGGGGGTGTTTTCGTTAGTGTGAGCCGCTTTAGTGTTTTCTGCTCTTATGGGTTTGAGAGGATAACGTCTCCGTCTACCGCTGCAGACTCAGCTCAGGTAAAAAGCTAAACGACTATCTGTATTTACAGCCAGTGCTTTCATTCCTTAATGGGCGTCACTTCTGTGTAGCAGCCAGTAACATTAAATTACAGCTTTAGTAACGTTAAATCATGTAGCATAGCTAAACAGCAGAGTCGCCACTAAATTACTAAATTTCCTACGAACCAGTCATGGCACGCTAATCCAGCTATTCTACAACACAAGATAGTATTGGTGTTTATTTCTATGCACATCAGGTTATAAGATGAGCTAACATGCGTTAGCCTTCCTCGGGGGTCAGTACCAAGGTGGCTAATGTAATGTCAGTTTAGTACAGTGTTTAGTAAAGTCCATGGCTCTGTAGAACCGTCATACTAGCATTAGATCGCTACAGTGTGCGCTGCAAAATGTTTCTGTTTTATCTGATCGTTTCACAGGTGTAGTTTACTGAAAATTTTAAGCTAATACTGTCATACGGTGTAAAAGTATACTGCACTCTCTCATCAAGAATAATTAATTGTAGTACAAGCAAAACCATGGAAAAAAACGACTTGGCATCTTAAATTATACCTACAAGTTATTATAACGCGAGATGTTGCATTAAGGTTGATTGAAGATTTTAATGATCCGACGCTGACAGTTATATAGGCTACAGTACTGGAGCTACCAGACCAGACACAAACCTCTTTGTTATCGTTTTGCTTCACCTTAATTATACTGGGTTGGCTTTATATTGGTGACACATTGAGCTCTGGTTACCACTGGTAGCATTTCAGATTGAAACCGGTGCACTGTTTCATTTCAGTTCACATTGGTATGAAACTCAGTTTGCATTCAGAAACATCCTTGAAATAGGTAATCTATTCCTGCAGATGCCTTTGTTCTGTCAAGGTGATGTTGCCTTTGCTTACTTGTGTACCTGGTAGTCCAGTTTTATTTTTTAAGTCTGCACTGCATTGCTGTTATACAGCAGTGCCATATACAAGCAGAAATGAAGTAATTATTAAAAGCCAATATACTGTATGTGTTGATTGTAATGGATTATTTACACTGCAGTAACATTATTAACTGATAGAAACCAAAAAGCTGCCAGGAACACACTGGCACTTTAAAAAGACAAGATACTTTACTGAAAGAAATTATACTTTAGCCTCTTGACTAACATAAAAGGGTGTCTAACATTACAGGAGCCCTGGTGGTGCTTTGAAAAATACTCACCCACATGACTCGGTTCCCAGCTGCAGGGATTCTGTAATAACCATACAGTTTGTACAGCTACTGTATACCATGTAAAGAACCCACTGCTTCAGCTGTCAGATATATACAGGGTAGTAACACATGCAGTAATTCCCTCTGAAATGGAGGCAAACAAAAGTCTTTGTACACAATACTGACCCATAGCTGTTTTTGTTTGCTAGTTTGTCTAAGCTTATTCTGCTGCTGTACTCGTAAACCATTGTAGATAAGACATGTTGTGCCTGTAAAAAAATGTTATTTCTCATTTTAGTAATGAGCTCCTAAAAAGCTAAGTTTAATGCCAGAACCTAAGGAGCAGCTATGATCTTATTTTAAAAATGTTTTTGCAGTCTTTTCTGAGCTGCTGCTTGGCTTTATAGCTGACACTGACCTTGTAACTGCCTACGTACAAGAAGATAAAACCATGGGAAATACAAGTAGTGAGAGGGCTGCAATGGGCCACGGGGAAAAGGCTCAGCGAAGAGACAGCCGAGGCATAAAGGAGGGGGAGAGGCCAAAAATCCTGATGGACAGCCCCGAGGATGCAGAGATTTTTCACGGTGAAGATATGAAAGTACGTCATGCTGCTGTCTCACAACAGTTTGTCTGCTGCCGATGTGATCATTTTGTGCCTATAGATAGTTGTTTTTATGGGTATTTCAGGCTCCTTTAGAGAAAGAAGAGTTCCTTGCATGGCAGCAGGACTTAGAAGCAGAAGACAAAGGGCCAACTTTAGACCGACCAACAGTCTTTCGCTGGACTGGAGATGGCAAGGAGGTCTACCTCTCTGGATCCTTCAACAATTGGGCCAACAAAATTCCTCTTATTAGAAGGTGAGGGCATCTTGTATTGTTATGTTTTTCTTCTGTTACATTCCTGTACTCGTTTGTAGGTATTTGATAGGACATGTTTTTAATGAGACTGAAGATTAAAAGAGAAGTTGCTCTGTCAACTTAACCTGTTTGTCACATGCTCTCTCTTGTCATCTTCCAAAGTCAGAACACATTTGTGGCCATTGTTGATCTACCTGAAGGTGAGCATCAGTACAAGTTTTATGTGGACGGCCAGTGGACCCATGACCCAGCTGAGGTCAGCTATTATTCTGACACTAATATAACTAACCTTTAGTCATACAGGCTTTCATCAGGCAACATCCAGCTAGAGCAATTCTTGTAGCTGTTATTGTGCCCTACAGTGGATGAAGAGGCCTTTTAATCTGGGTATATTTTACCAGATAATTTTCTCTGCAGCTTCCTGCGATTATTACCAGAGGTTGCAGTGATTTTGTTATTGGCCATCATTTTGATGGACAAAGTCATAAAAATTCCATCATAAACTATTAATACCTGTCATTTTTTAATGAAATGATTTGACCATTTTGTGTTCTTCCTCACAGCCAGTTGTAACCAATCAGCTTGGCACAGTCAACAATGTCATCCAAGTCAAGAAAACTGACTTTGAGGTGTTTGATGCTCTAATGGTGGACTCGCAGAAATGCTCTGACATGTCAGGTGAGTGCCGACAGCCTGTTCTCATGTCTGCTGTGCTAGGATTCATTGATACAGAGAAAATGTTTTAGAAACAGGTCCAGAAAAATGTGCAAAATGAATAAAGGAATCTGTTTTTTTCCTCAGTATTTTGCTGTGCTGGTCCTATTGCCCAGCATCTATTAGTGAACATCAGTTAATTTAAACCACTTTCTTCCAACTGAATTTCAGGGGTAGAATTTTAAAATGGGAATTTAGAGCTGTTGTGTGAACTGATGCCAGGTCTGTGCAAATGTTTGAATATGACACTATCTTAGCTGTACAATCCTCCCTGACTGCTCTCTTTCCTTTCTGCCTTCATTAGACCTCTCCAGCTCGCCTCCTGGGCCATATCATCAGGATGCCTATGCTCCGAAACAGGAAGAGAAGTTTAAGTCTCCACCCATCCTTCCACCACACCTGCTACAGGTCATCCTCAACAAAGACACTGGAATTTCTGTAAGTAGCTGCCATGGATTTAAATCAGGCTCATTCCACACGCAGTTGTTTTGATTGTGGATCTTCTTGAAAAATGTCAACTTCTTGTTCTGTGCTTTGTACTGTAACTGTCGCATCCTTAAAAACAGTAACTTAAACAAATAGTTGAAATATTAATAGTCTAAATATTAAAGGTTTATCATATCAGGATAAATAGTTTGTTGAAAAAGCAACATATTGGTCATACATAATACAATAGAACCACCACAATACATAATACTCAGCAGGCAATGTAATAAGACAAATAGAAAGAGAAAGAAAATCTGCTTCAGAGTCTCTTTATTGGTTTATTTCTGTTTATATCCAGTGTGACCCTGCATTACTCCCAGAACCCAACCATGTGATGCTCAACCACCTTTATGCTCTTTCCATAAAGGTAAGGTCGCAAGCAGACTGAAACACTCCAAAACATAATTCTGTTCTATGTTTGCCGTTTTCAGCACATCTGGCTGCTGAAATGTGGGAAAACGTTCTGTAGTGCCACGTGATAAATTATCAGCTTTGTTAGCATTTTTTAATTTAGACTGTGAGCTGCTGCTTATCTTAGGAAGCTTGCACATTATATCAGTGGAATGCTAACAGGCTACTCATAGGCTGAAGGACAGATAATTGCCCCTTCTTCCAACAACATGACAGGAAAAACAAACACACTAAGATATAAGTACAGCCAGCAGTGTCAGACTAAATGTTGAAAAAGAGGAAAAACATACATGTGCCCTGTTCATTGATACTCTTTTGACCTGTGCACAGCTTTTTTTATATTAGTTGGAGCATTTTTTCAGGTTTGTATTAAAGCAGTGTTCTCAGGACCATATGTAGACTGGAATGTTTTTGCTTTCTCTTATCATTTCTCCTGTTCCTGCTGTCCCTTCTTAAGAGATCTCTACTGATGATGGGGGACAACAATACAATGTCCTCGTTTTGAGCTAAAATGCATTTTAGAGTTTATCTGAAGTAAATGTAAATCTTCAGCAGTTTGAGTTTATCAAGTTAAGTGGGTAGGTTTTAAAAGTGAGTTTTTTTTTAATGCAAAATCTCTTCGTTTTTCTGGTTAGTGTTTATGTGGTAAGCTGCACTGGAGGATCGGCAACACACTAGAAAGACTACAACTTGGGATAATACTAAATAGATTTGTGTATTTCAGACTGCTGAATCCTTATATTAACCTCAGGTGAAGTTTGAAATATTTTCTTGCACGTGTTGCGGAGGTAGAGCAGGTCGTCCACTAATCGCAGGCTTGACGGTGCGGTCCCCACTGTGGTCCACATGTCGAAATGTGAGCCTGATACCACTGTTGTCATAAGACCCACATGGATCCAAGCTGAAAGCATCAATTTCATGTGTTTTTAAGTATATTTTGCCTCATGTTATCTTTATCTATTATTTCACAGGATGGGGTGATGGTACTCAGTGCAACACATCGCTACAAGAAGAAGTATGTTACCACCTTACTATATAAGCCCATCTGATTCAAGATCAAGTTCAAGACTTTATAAATTCTGTTCCAGTGTGTTAACTGTACACTGAGTGTACAAAATATTAGCTCCACCTGTCTTTTCCATAGCGTAGAGAGGACAGGGGAGTCCAGGCTCATATCGCTTTGGGGTTTCACCTCTTAATTCCACATGCTAACTTAAAGAAGCAGCTCTAAAAGAGGTGAAGTTATATTTGTAAATTTAACTTTCATTTGCAGAAAAAAATTAGGAATAGTATTTACTGAGGGAATGTACTGAAACAGCGCATAAGCTAAGATGGAATCAAATGATAAAGTCAGACATGCATGTACAGCAAAAAGTCATATTGCGTCAAGTTTTATTCATATAGCTCAGTGTCACAAGCCAGTTATCGTACACATCTGTTTACGATGATGTCACCTAGTCACTCCAGTCCTAAATGAGCTTCCTTTCTGTGCTCACTGACTGCCCCCTGTAGTTTTTAACACTGTTTTTGCTTAGTAAACCTAGAGAGGCACTGAGATAGGACACTATGCCAGGTCTGTAATCCAAGCACACAAAAATATAAGGTAATACCTGGAAAACCAGGCTGAAACACCTGAGATACGTGAGGCTGCTATCGTCTTTTCCATGGTTGAGGAACCAATGGTGGAACAGTCAAGAATCAAATCAACGATGGGGAAAAAAATTGCACTGCAGTGGTGTTTCACTGTTTCTTTTGCTTATTTATCTTGAAACTGATGAGCACAATAGATATATATTCACTTTAGTTGATGATGTGGTTTGTTTGGTTGTCAAAAATTTCAGTGTTGTGGACAAGACTAATCGAGACAACTTTCTTAATTAAGACTTAGACAATGTAGTTGAGACCAAAACCATAACATTTCATTATTTTTTCATACATTAATTTCATCTCAGTTTTAAAATTATTATATTAGTTGTGCACTATGATAATAAATGTTTATTTTATGTTGAATATGTATATTTTATGTAGAATATATTCACAGTGTGTGCATATTTACTGCACAGTAATGTTTCAGAACACTAATACTTAACCCTTTTGAACATTATGCAGGTTTTGTAGTCTTCACACTGATATACCTTTGCACATGTGCAATAGTTTTTCAACACTTTTTTCACTGAATCTAAGTGCATTCTAAAAATGAAGTCTCCCCAGCTTCCTTACACTGCTAATCTTTAGTGGCAAGGAAGGTTTCTATAAAATGAAACTTCTGATCAATTCATTGTTGAAAAGAAGAAGAAGAAAACATTTAACAGGAATCAGAAGGCTGAAGATATGAGACAATGAAAGTCGTGTGACTAAAACTGACTTGAAGAACCATAACACTGACCATAATGCTGTCACTGTTACTGCAGGTTTGTGTGGTATGTACTGTAGGAGTAATTGCCATAAACATATGAGGCCATATTTATTATCAGCCAGGAGGGCAGAGAGTGCTGAAACTGATGATCTCAGAAAATCTCTCATTTGTTTGTGTTGCTTCTGTTATTGTTTCAGAACTAGTGTGGTAATGATTTATTGATGGGAAGACATTCAGATAAGTTGCAATACCATTAAAATGTGAGCCCTTGAACCATGCTGGTGTGTACACATTTACCATTTTTGAGAGATCTTTTATTAAAGGTTAAGCTACAGTAAAAAATCATAATGTGGCGTGTGTTATTTGTGCGTGTCTGTACATTATATATTTGTGTACTTTCAGCCTCACACTCTTTAATAGAAGGCAGTGGCTTGTTTTGACTCACAATCATAAAAACCCCTGCAGCAATTTTTGTAAACAGTGTAGTGCGTACCAACCTTTTTTTTTTTTATCATGAGGAAAACTGTGGCTTTTGAATGTTTTGAACAAACAGGTGGAAATGGAATGGAAAGAAAAAATTGGCTTTTTCACACTAAGTGACAAAAATTCACTAAGCACATATTCAATGTGCAAAACGCTTTAAATAGAAGAAATTGTTTAAATGTTGCTGGTTGAGACAGATCAAACATTCTATACATTTAAAACATAAGATTTTAAGCTTTTATTATTATTAATCTTCAGTAATGTCTAAAACATAATTCCAACTATGACTTGTCAAATGTGCTGGGAAATCTGCAACATTCTCCTTGACAGATACTGTTAACATGGCTAAGGGCGCTTTCCTCTTCATAACATTAGTGCATCAATCTTGAAAGTCTGGGTTTTCCATGTCTTTATACATATGGTGGAAAACTGGTTGTGTTTATCTCTGTTTTTTGGCCATGAAGTTTTTACAGACGTAGACAAAAATAGCATCTACAGATGATCTAACTTAAGCATCTTTAGAAACATCGCACACGGTTTGAAAAAGATCACAGAGCCTGAGAGTTTTACTTGCCTTTACACCTGCTGCTTTGAGTCTGTATCTCAGAGCCCATGCATTGCGAAACGTGTGACCCTCTGTAGTATGAACAGCTGAATGGTCAGATTCCAAGGCCCCATGCTTAATATATAAAGATGGCCTGATCTCAGGGAGAGAGCTACTCTGTGGCTGACCTTTTGACTAGCAGGATGAATACTCTCCGGGCTCTGTTTCTCTTGGCGGCAAGCCTCACTGTTGGTGAGTACAATTTGACAAAAGCTACTCATCTGTATGGATGGTGGTGGTGAATAGTACAATATAAATACATTTGTGGTTGTGCCTGCTTGTGCTGCAGCCCAGTCGTTGGACTACAAGGCACTCACCCAGTTCAGAAAGATGATCCTGTGTATGATGCCTAATAGCTGGCCTACTCTGGACTATTCTGACTATGGCTGCTACTGCGGATTTGGAGGCTCTGGCACACCTGTGGATGACCTTGATAGGTTATGATTCAGTCACTCTGCTTGCTACAAGATGTCATTAAAAAAGTCTTTTCAGTGTGTTTCAGAATGTATCTTTGTTTAAACTAGGTGCTGCCAAGTGCATGACCAGTGTTATAGTGATGCTATTCAGCATCCCAAGTGCTGGCCCATCGTTGATAACCCTTACACAGAGTTATATGACTACAGTTGTGACAGTGTCAACAAGAAGATCACCTGTGGCAGTGAGTACACCAACTCTACTCACATGAACTTATAAACCTGCAGTAACATACATTTTTGTCTTTTCTGTCACTATTTCTACTTATCAGGGATAGATGCAGTGGGGAGTGAAATACAAATGAATTCAGTGGAAAAAAGAATTTAATTTGTAGAAATGTTTGCTTGCCTTTAAGTAGAGTGAAGTTAGTCTCTTTCACTTCTTCAGGCAAAAACAATGAATGTGAGATGTTCATCTGTGAGTGCGACAGGAAGGCCGCTGAGTGCTTTGGTGTGTCACCTTGGAACCCTGATAATGAACACCTGCCCAATGATCGCTGTCGCTAGAGATTTCCAGATGAATTTAACCTTCCACGCAACCAACTTTTAGTGTTCTAAGGTGACTGTGATTGTTTTATCAAATGTGTCATACTATACAGTCACATATAACGCAACATGATTTGTGTTCGGTACAAGACATTTCTCATATTGTAATTTTTCTAAGGTATATCCATCCATCATTCCTTTCATGTCCCAAGTCTCTCTTGGCAGCATGACATTTTTGAAGTTACTCTGACAATAAATATAATTAGATCTGCATCTCTTTTTTTCTCACATGCTGGTTAGTGATATTCAAGCCAGTTATTCACAAGTATGATCATAGCACAAGTTACCAATAGAGGGCACAATGATCCACCTTTTTCTTTCTCAAGCTTGGAGGATGAAATTGATAGTATATTGTAGAATAGCATAGGCTTAGACTGCCATCTGATGTTTTGTCTGTATATTTTACAAAACATCATGTATAGTATGCAATATTTGCACCTATAGTAAAATAATTAAATATGCATTTTTTCAGGAAAAAAAGGAATTCAGTTTAAATTTTATAGTTTAAATTTTTAGATTTATTATAGTTTTATACTGTTTTTTTAATGAACCATCAGCAAATACAGTAGCTCTGAATGGTATTTTCTGGGTGCCCTCTCCAATCTCATACTGTATTTGTGTTATTAGTGGTTTGGTGTATTACTATCTTTTTAATTAGCTAATTAATTTAAGTTTAACACACAGTGGCATTTATTTAAAATGCATATTTTCATACTAATCGATTGTCTGCTTTATGATCACAAACACTGGAAATACAACCCCAAACCAGAAAATGTTGGAATGGTATGTAAAATCAAAACTAAAACAGAAAATACTGATGTGTAAATCATCTGTGCCCTGTATTACATTAAACAATTTGATGACACCTCAATTTTATTCTTTGTTCAAAATAAACAAACTCTGATGCCTGCAACACATTCCAAAAAAAAAAAAAAAAAAAAAAAAAAAGTTGGGACAGTAAAGCATTTACCACAGTGTGATGTTGTTATTCCTTTTCACAACACTCAAAAGACATTTAGGGACTGAGGACACAAAGTGATGAAATGTTTCAAGTGTAATTTTGTCCCATTTTTTCTGCAAACAATTCTTAAGCAGTCCTGGGTGTTCGTTGACGCTATTTGTACCAAAGTACCAAACAAGATTGCCAAAGTAATCCTGTGCCCATGTGGTTATATCTCTTATAGAAGAATAATGATTCTTGATGCAGTGCTGTCTGAGGGCCCCCAAGATTCTTTGAATCTTTTATTTATGTTATGCACCATAGAGGGTGATGTATCCAAATCTCTTCCTATCTTTTTCTTTTTTGAGGACCAATTTTCTTATATATACATTGGCAAATTGGAGATCCCCAGGCCATCTTTGCTCCTAAAGGGCTCAGCCTTTTCTGGATGTCACTTTTGTGCCAAACCATGATTGCAGTCACCTGTTGGCATCACCTGTTCTAACTTAGATCACCATTTCCTTGTTTTACCTCATTACCAGTCCTGAAATGCAACTGCCCCACCTGTTTTTGGAATGTGTTGTAGGGTTCAGAATTAAAGGGAGTGTTTAGTTTGAACAGAAAATAAAGTTGATGAGGTGTCACATGTTTTCAATGAAATACAGGACACAGATGATTTACACATCACTATTTTCAGTTTTAATTTTGATTTTACATACATTCCCATCTTTTTTCTGATTTGGGGTTGCATACATATAATACTGCATGGAGCTTTAAAGTATAGTATAGCATGCAAAACAATCATTCAATATGACTTAACCAAGTACTGAGTCTACCAGCAGCTATTGTACCATAATCATTTTCAGCTCTGACAGCATTAGTTGGTCACATTACAAACAAGGCCGGGTAACAATCTGAGGTCAACTCCATTTGTATTGCTGGGTGACGCTGGGTATTTCTATAAGTTGCTCTTCTTCTCAGTTGTCACACACAGCTCCAAGACCAACAGATGGTTGCAGGTGACAGTTGCTTCTGAGATAATTTGGCACCAGATAAAACAAATCCAGTCAATGCAGCCTGCTGTTTCGGTCTAAGCTAGCCACTGCTGTTACTGTAGCTCCCAGCAGCTCACTCATTGTAATCACAGCTGTGGCTGCAGCTCACTGGACCAGTCTTCAGGCTGTTGTTCAGACAACGCTAAACATTAGCATCGTAAGCACCTGCACCTGGTAGATGGCTGCTGGCCATCCACCAACTGTGGCTGCTGCTAGCTCAAAGATAAAATGAGAGAAATGACAAAGGCAACAAAATTATAAAAGCCTTTCTTTATATACTTCAGCTGAGCATTATCAGTTCAATAAGAAGAGATCAAATGAAAGGGAACAGCAAAATTATTGTTTTTAATTTTTATTTTCTGGAGATAAAACTTTTGTCAATGTGAAGTGTTTTTAATAGGCGTAAATCCATATGAAGATAGATGCTGATGGAGAAGAACCAGTAAGTGAACAGTGCGATGACATCAAGGAGGCAGAGTTGATGGGGAAGAGGTGGGTTGAACAATAGTTTTCAGCTCTGAGATTTTGATAAAAGTTGCAACAGTTGAGGTTAACCACTCAATTCTGAAGGATATGTTGATTCTAACTAAAATAAAATAAAAATATCTTTTTCTTGTTGTTTTTCTTCTGTTACTAAAAAAAAACCTAATTTTTGTCATTACTCTCACAATATTGTTGCTTCAAATTAAGCCACTGCTGTTATTCTTTTTGTGGCTGACATTGATTCTTCATGTTGAATGACAGAACACAGTCTGTGTCTCCCTTAGAAAAACAAACTTATACATGGGTATGTCCTGTATTTCTGGAATGGACTATCTTTGCCATGAAAGTAGTGGTGGGACCAGGACTTCACTCTGAAATAACCTGGATGTATGACAAACTGAAGTATTACATTTTATTTAGTGTGTTTGTGCAAGTGTGTGATTGAATTGGTTGGCTTGTGTGACTGTCTTTTGGTGATGTTGCATATGGGCAATTTGTTTTCAGGTCTCTTTTATAGAAAAGACTGATGTAAGACTTTGTGAAAAAAAAGGACCCTTTAACATGTCAGTTACTTTGTAATGGAATGTCGGTGAAGCATTGGCTACAGCTTCTGAAGTATTAAAGTGGTTAAACAAAGCAAATGTCCTCTCAGACAAAAAAAAAATAGACACACAAACCTGCTGTAGTTAAGCTGTGATATATTTTCCTGAGTGGCTCACTGGATGCTAAGAAGATGTAACACCTGACACCAGCCGAACATTGTTGAATTTAATGAATAAATGAGTGCTGTGGGGGAAAGGGTGTGTGAACCTGTTACATGTGCAAACTGTTCACATCCACTTGATATTGCTCGACTGTGACATTTCCCAAAGATGGTGGTCCTGGGAGGACACAAGCTTGAGAGAATAGAAAATGAAAGACAAAGAAACAAGTCTAACAGAAAGGTGACTAAGAAGGAGAGGAACAAGAGAAACAGAGACAAAGACTTTCTCACTGTAGCTGCTAGAGTATCTAATGATGACTCCACCCTCACATGTAAACACAAGCCCGCACATTATCTAAAGTACTTGCTGGTTCTGATGCTGCCATGGTTACTTGCTATTTGTCATACCAGTCATGTACAGTACAAGAAGTCTTCCCAGCATGTTTTTCAACTTTTCACAGCAGGTAGGGGAGTGTCTAGCACATACTTTTCTGTGCAAACCTTGTGTGTCATAAGATCTTGCAGTTTGTTGACTTATTCTCTCTGGTCTGCATAATGTACCACATTTAAGGCCCTCCAGGAATCTGAGCCTGAGCCAAGAGGAACAATGTGTGTGTGAAAGTACATCTCAGAGCATGGGGTCATCCCTTTGTTCATCCACTATGGGTTAATACTTGAGCTGTAAGCACAGAAGGTTCTTAAGACAAAAACTTTGTGTGCTGATATACTATAGGAGTTTTCTTTGAAATCCATACATGCGGTCTTATGTTTTCAGTTTTCCTCTAGGGCCCCTGTTAATCAGGGCTTACACTGTAGATGCTTTAATGTGCATTTGTAAATGGGAGAATGAACGATTCACATTTCAGCGGGATAGTTCATTTCAGGTTGATGAGATATTTTTAACTATTGGCTTTTGACCATCTAACATTGAAAATTCATTAATTCGTCACAGAGTTTTACAGACTTTAATCATCATGGAAAGAACCGTGAACATGACGGCAAGCTTACCAGAACACCACCATCATGGAAACGCTCATAAACATGCTGTTATGATTTCATTATGAGCCTGTCATGGTTTCATTACATTTTGTCACACAAACTGCTTAGTTAGGTTTATAAACAAAAACAACTTAGCTGAAAAAAGACACAGTAGACACTCAAACTGAACTCAGCTCCTCTGGGAGAAAGTCCTTTGTCTTATGGACCAAGTCATCCACCCCAACCTAACCTGGACCTTGTGGCTCTATACACTATATTGTGTAACTGTTGGTTGCAATAATCTGCTGGCACAGACAACATATGGAGGCATTTTGTTTACCAGAAGACAGTCTAGCTGAGAAGGTAGAAACTAATTATACAGTTCTACTTCGCTGAATGTAAATGTTTCCATTCTGATCTGACTCTGCTTGATAAACTCTTCTGAAGATGATCACCAGTGCTCTGCATACTGAGCGACATGTGTGAAGGCCAAGACGGTGGCTTATGTTTTGAAAGCATGGGGCCATAACAGTTAGCATTTCCATGGTTAACATTTGATTCATCTTTTTCCATGCACAACCTGTAATTCTGTCCTTTGTTGTTGTCCCAGTGTGGTGCTGCGCTAGCTCCTGGCCTGAAAGACACACAAAACTCAGTCCGCTCATTTGGATCTATGTTCTGGGGTAAGCTAAAGTCAAAGGAAAAAATATCCAAATCAGAACCCGCATATCGCTGTTGCTGCAGAAGCATGCAGGGAATATCATGATGGCTCCTCCAAGAGTCAAAGGTCAACCTTATATGCACAGCCTTTTCAATACTGACATGAGAGACACACACTTTGCCACTCAAGGAGTGCTCTGAAATGTTGCAGCTTTCCAACTGTACGTGCATCTCTCGCAGGCGTGCAAGGAATACTTTAAAATCAAGTGTGGGCTGAGGGAAACCCAGCCGCAACTTGTAGCGGGACAGTTTGTTTGAGGTTGACTGTTGGCCATGCAGTTTGGCCAGAGAAGGTTTCAACACCAGTGTGGAAGTGTGAGAAAATGGCTCAGGGATGAAAAGACGGACAGCAGTGAGCGCTAGGCCTTTGGCATCTGCAAATACCACATGCTTCTTGCTTACACCGCCACTGTCCCTGCGGAAACAGCTTCGAGGTCCCAAGTGCAAAGGGGAGGAAGGTAGTGATGAAGATGAAAATGAGAAAGAAGGACAGTGGAGGCGGGCCCTTGGCATACAGTTGTGTCGCTGTGTGGATTTCAGAGGAGACATGGACAGAAGCTGATAAAGAGGCTGGTGCTGGCTGAGGCTCAGATAAACAGCAAGATCAACTGGTATCACAGTGGGCTGGGGCTGACTACCAAAGGCATGGAGAACTCTGAGGAACACAACAAAACAAGATCTTCAGTTACAAGTACCAAGATTGCTGAAAAAACTTAGAAAGATCAACTGGACTAGGTTTTTAGGTTGAAGACGTTTCACCTCTCATCTAAGAGGCTTCATCAGTTCTTTTGATTTTTCTAAGTTTTTTTCAGCTTACTATGACCTGGATGACAGAGTCTGCATGGACAAGTACCAAGATTAGTTGCACACCTTTTTTTTAAGAACATGCTACCTTTACCACTTGTTCAAATGTAATGACATAATTGCATGCAATATTATAATCACCACAAGTACAATTAAATGAAAGTACAGTAACTTACCTAGCACAATTCATGTTCAGCCTGTAGATGTTACACTGTAAATCCATTGTCTTTGCCAGAGAGTTGTATCTCATTTAGAAAAATCTATAGGCAGAAAACGAGGATAATAAATAAAAGTTCTTTGTGAATTAAACAACAATCAGTCCAAAAAGGGCCTACAGTATATGCATCGCTGCAAACTGCTCTGGAGAACACTGATCACTAATTGCTTAAAATACAAATGTAAAAGAAATTGTATTTTTAAATGCAAGCTATACTTACATGTAAAGCAACATGATGTTTCACCAGACCAGAGAAAAAGAAAGAAAGAAAGACATGATTGTGGTCCCAGTTTATTTTAGCTCTCTCCAGAGCTTATGCGTGGAGTTTGTGAGTGACGCTGAACCCTTCTCTGACACCACATTTGCATGTTAGTAGGGTTTAGCCAATGAAATAAAGCTGCTTATGTGCTGCCCCTAAATAACTGCTGGATGGAAGGGAGTGCCTCCAAATTCTTTTCATGTAACTCTGCTCTAATGATTCAGTTGCTCAAATATGAACTTGTGCACAGATTATGGTAGAACTCAAGAGTATTAGAGTGTAACATGCATACACACCAAAGCCTCTTTATTGGGATTTTTCTTTTTTTGACAATCTTCACCCAATGATCCTTTTTAAATTACTGACTTGTCCATTCTCCAGTGCCAGTTAAAAGGAAGCTGCTGGCACAATGTCCAATTAAGCTCCCTTTTTTAGAATTTAAAATGTTTTCCATTAAATATGCATCAAGTTGAAGTTGTTCTTCTCTCTTCTTCTTTACAATTTAAATTACAAATCATGCTGACAGGAGCTGGACTCCTACTTTCAGATTAGATAAGGGATGAACTCATGAGAACAGAGTAGCGCTAACATTTTAAAAAATCACTTGCTTTTATGTAGATAAGAAATTAAACTTACTGTACACAGTTAAAACATACACATCTTCTAAAAGCCATGTTTTTCATCAGCTTCATACAATAAACCTTTCAATTGGAAAATAACTCGCTAGTTGGAAAAGTATTCTTATTTAGCATTTATTTTATTTTAATTTCATTTTTTTAACACTAGAACCATCATGAGGTCATTTGGACCTCTCTTGCCTATTAAAATGCATGTAACTTTGTTTGAGTAAAAACCCTATGTCTCCCAGTAAGTGACTTTTCCTAAAAGTGTGTTACACATCATCTGCATTTTGGGGATTTTGGAATAAAAGAGAGAGGAAAAAAAGAATGGTTTTACCTAAA